TGAGCTCGCTTGCGAGCAATGTTCCTCGTACTGGGAAGGGTACAAGTCTGACCAACATCACGTGCTGCAGGGGTTTGCTCCGCACACCTTGTGTGAGCCAGTGAATGCGAGACCAGACGTATAGTGCGCGAGTGCTCAGCGTGTTCACTGGATGAAAGTGGTTTTGTTTCATCATGGTGTCATACCTGTTATTTCCGCAGTTGCAGTTGTTCGTGTGTTGCTGCAACGTGCGTCCAACGCCCGTTAGTTTGTTTTATTGTTTTTATCTTATGGCACGTTGTTTTTGATATTCAGTGGCCGGTTAATTGCCACATCCTTCCAGATTCCCACTATTATTATACGCGCTATTCAGCCATGTCCATGTTGTCATGCCTGTCTCACTTTCGACCAATACGTTATGTGGTTTGGCCCGCTTTCACTGTTATAGTTTCACCGGCCAGTGAATACCAGGTTGTCCACCGCCTTCTCATTTGAACACGCGTCATCGTTACCAATATGTTGTGGCGACCGTTCGACTAGCATGGCGGGTCATCTCTTGATTGAGATCCGCTGTCGCAGCTGGCAGAAGTTGTCGCCGCCCGCCCCGCGACCCAATTGCACCCAGCCTCGAGCCGCTTGCGGCCCACACTTGCAACCCACACCCGCGACGCATCCGCGACCCACTCACATTGTTTTGGAGAGAGTCGCCGCCTACGGCGGCTGGCTGGCTGTGTAAAACCTGCATAGCTCAAACCCCGCCCGGCTCGCACATAAAGAAACGAACGGGGTTTGTGGCGTGCGTCTTGACATTTGCCTTCAAACCCCGCGACCCACAAACGACCCGCCTCTCGACACAGACGCACACTCTGTTTGGAAAAAGATCGGCGCCTACGGCGGGCTGGCTATTTACAACAAGCAGGCGCTCTGGCCCTTGTCCCACCCCTCTCTCTCCGATCCTCTCTTCGTACCCACCTCTGCCTCACACCCATGCCCCACCCCACCCCCGCCTGCATCCCTGTCATCCTCGCCGTGCGCCGTCCTCCACTTGGCCTTCTCGCCCTCGTCCTCGTCCGCCTCCCTCCCGGGGGCGCCAACTGAACACCGACGCCGCTCCTTGCCAGGCTAGCCCCGGGTGTGGATCTGTGCGCGCCAAGCCGAGCGGGCGCGCACAGCGATTCGTGAGGCTGGCCCAGGATGGGCCTGGCCAGGATCGGCGCTGCTGCGCAGTTCGTGCTCCCCCTTGGCATCGCTCGGACGTGTGTATTTTTCCTTCGGCGAGGACAATCGAGGAGCATTCTCGACCATTTGGCGAAAAAATCACGCACGAAGCCAACAAAAAAAATAAGGAAATGGACGTCCGAGCGATGACCAGCCCCTCCTCCGCTGGCCGCCTGCGCCCGAGGTGCAGAGTGCCACCGGCAGGGGCGGCGCTCCGCCCGGGTCTGGGGAGGGGGGGGGGCGTCGGGGCAGGCAGCGCAGGCACGGGCGCAGGCCGCGAGAGTGCGAAGGTGCTGCGCCGCGGCGCTGCGCGGAGGAGGACACGATGCCAATGCCGCTGCCCTCCGCCCGTTTTCCCCTTTTGTCGGCTTCTGGGTGGCCCTCGTCGCCACCGCCGGGTTCGCGTCGGAATCCTTGTCGTAATTCACCCCGGGAGAGGTCCGTGCAGCAGCGGTGTCTGGGTAGCTTTGGGTTCACCCCAGCTGCAGCAGAGGCCAGTGCGCGAGATGCGGGGCTCGCAGGCTCGGACTGCAGTCGCACGCGCAGCAACCGCGCTCGAGAGCCGAGTCCACGGTGTCCCCCCGGGCACGGGGCAAGCAGGGCGAGCGCTGGGAGAGGCGCGAGGGTGATGCCGTCAACCACGGCATTGACGCCCAGGCTTCGAGTCATGCCGACCCCCTCCCCTCCAAACAATGGTGTGTGTGGGGGCACCGGCGGGGCCCTGATGAGGCAATCTGGGAGTTTTCCAAAATTGTCCTTGGCGCCACTCGCGGGCTCGAAGACCATCGAATGAGCGATACGCGGTGAAGATCCTGCCCTCCAGGTTGGCCCGCGGCGAAGGGCCGCGAATGCAGCGCTTCATCGGGGTTGCTGCCCTCGAATCCGTGCCCGCTCGACCTCGTGCACACTGGCCCGCCGCCGCAGTTGTTGCAGCTTGAACTTTCCATGGTCTTGTACCCTTCCTCGACATCCTTTCTCCTATGTTTTACTTCATGGCCCGATTGGCATCCTCGTAAGGGAGTTTGCCGCATGACTTCCCAGACAGATGTCGCAGAAAAGGGTTACCCGGGCGGTTGTTTCCCGGGCTGTCCAGGGTTTCTCTAGAGGTTGCCCAGCCTTCTCTCATGAAGCACGTTCTTTGTCCGAGATCGGTGGCGCTCCAGGCCCTGGAGGCTCCAACGCGCACGTGAACCCGACGCTCGATGAAGCCCTTGATGTCTGGGGGGCCAGCTGTGCCTCATCCATGGTCTGTACCCTATTGTGGGTAGCACTGGCAGTGGGACTTGGGTCCGTCGGTTGTAGGTCCTCCGCTGGCAGGGGCAGGGGCAGGGGCTTCGAGCTGCCCTTCTTTTAGGGGGGGTCGGCGTGAGGGCACGAGCATGCCCGCTCCTCGCGCGCGCACCCGGTATCCCGCAGAAGACTCCCTTTGTCCACCAAAACCACTCCCCCCCCTTGCTTCACGATCGACCAATCTAGATCCCCCCCTACAGGGAGGCGCCCCAATTCATGTCCAGGCCCGCCTAACGAAACTGCGAATGTAGTCCATGGTGATGGTCAGCATGGCGATGAGGGCGGTTGAAATAGCGATAAGGGTGCAACTTGCGATCACCATGGTAATGGCCATGGTCATGATATGACTAGTGCCTGGATTCCACAATTGGGATCTGTCTAAGGGTTTCCCGCTTGCGTGCGGAAGACGTTGCTGGGTCCGAAGCCCCGGTGGAGGGGCGGCATGCGGCCGTCTTCGGGTTGCTCGGTCTTCTGCTCCCCCTGCTTTCCTCGGGCTCCTGAGTCTTTGGTTCCTCGGGCTTTTCTCGGGTTCCTCGGCCTTGGGTTGTAATGTCAAGCCTCGGGTTCCTCGACTCCAAGCAATACCGCGGAGCGCCACGCAAGGCCAAGCAGTGCAAAGCCAGTGCCAACTATTTAATCGCTTCGCTCATTCCGCCGGCCCTGGAGCGCTATTTGGGGCCTCTTGGGGCCGTCTTTGGGGCCTCTTGGGGGCTTCTTGGGAGCGTCTTGGGGCTCCTTGGCGGCGTCTTGGGCCCCCCTGGGGCCTCTTAGGGGGCTCTTGGGGGCCCCTTGGGGCGGGAGGGGGGGGTAGTCGACTGCAGCCACCCTCTCGGAGGCCACGATCCTCGTGAGGGGTGGCGAAAAATAGCCTCCCCCTTGGGGATCGCTCGGGACCCAGCCGGGGATCGGCCGGGGTACTTTTCGTCCGGGGGCCCCCAGGGGCCTAGAAATATTGTTAAGTAGTTACTGGAGATCTTAGCACGCCTCTGGCCCGTTGGGCCGGCGAATTGCCAAGGCATGTTTCGCCTGCCCGGGACCAGCGTGGCGGCGTGTAGGGTTCCCTACGCGTGGTGGTGCGCGTCTTGGGAGACCACAAGGCCAGCGTCCCCCTGGAGCTAGCAGAGGCCCTATCGATTCGTTGGCGATGGCGACTGCTCAGGTGGGCCGCCTGCGGGAGGAGGAGGGGAGGAGAGTCGATCACAGTGGTGCCGTGTGCGAATGTGCGCGCTGCAGTGGAGAGAACCTGCCACAACGTATGAGTCAGATGGCAGATCACGTGGGCGCGATGCGGAGGGCGGCGCGGTGGCAGTGCAACGACGACGACGACGACCGCCCCCCCGCGCGCGCCATGAAGGGGGGCGCCTGGGGCGCGGGGAGGCCATCGCACGGCAGGGGTGCGTACGAGGCTCGGGCCACAGGGGCGGGGGGGGGGCGTTGGTCCTCGTCCCTCGGGGAAGCGCGAGCCCGAGTCGAGGCGCGTGGACTCGCCGGGGGTCTGCCTCTCGACAGAGTCGGCGCGCTCCGTGTCCACAGACCTCAGAGGGGGAGGAGGCACCGGTACCGAGACCATGCCCTCGTGTCCCCCTTGTTCGGCCTCCTGGGAGGCCCTCGTCGCCGCCGCTGGGTTCGCCTCGGCACCCTGGGCAGAGCGCACCCCAGGAGAGGTGCGGGGAGCAGCGGTAGCTGTACCTTTTTTGGGGGGGTTCCCCTGAATTGTGCGGCCTTGGCCGCCTCATGGTTCGGGGGCTGCCTTCCCGCTCCGTGGCTCAGGCGTCAAGTCGGGCGTGTCCCCCTACAGGGGGAATATCCAAAAATAGTTTCAACATAGTCTCGGGACCGTTTCTTGATTTGTTTGACTATTTGGTGGTATTCGTGGATGTTTTTGATTTTCGCTCAAAATCCGCCTGTAGGGGGACATTCCCGACCTAAATCTGGCGCCCACGCGCCAGGTCCACGGATGCGTACGCGGCGTTGGCTTACCGGCGACGCCGGCGAAGGCGTTCAAGGTTGAATTTTCTGCGGTGCGGAAGCATCAAGGGACACGGTGACGCCGTTGGGCCTGACGGAATTCAACTTTGAAAAATCGGGGCCGCGATCGATTCCAGGTGGGACGAGGCTGGTGCCAAACACTTTTGCGCGCGTCGAAGCCGCACGAGCCTACCGTAATCCACGTTGGCCTGCGCCCGGCTCCGAGGGGGCACCCTCACCGAACCATTCGGGGCAGGGCCGCGGCGCTGGCCCGCGCTCGCGAGGCTCAGACCACCCTCAGGCGGGGGGCCGTTCGGAGAACCACCCGCGGCACGACGAAGGCCCTGGGATCGGCGTGGGGGAAACGGGCCTTGGGGGAAGCGGGTCCTGCGATTGTTCGCCGTTTTCGGGTTCTCGGGACCCTCAACGGGCCCGGGGACCGTCAGAAAACAATTCAGGATGAAGAACTCGCCCTCGGGGAAGGCCCCAGGGTCTAGGACCCGCTTCCCTCAGAACCCATATCCTCCATGCTAAGACCCGCGGCACGAAGGCCCCAGGGGACCTCCAAGAGAGCAGGTCGATGTCGAGCAGTGCGCGGTGTCAGGAAGCCTGACCTTCCATGAGGGCTACAAAACAGCACTAGGGCCTTGACATCTAAATTCCAGTCGGGGTTTGAGGCGGTCCAAATAGGTTTACAGTGGAGGCCCATGCCAAGAAACACCCTGCTTGACTCCAGGGTGCCCTGGGTTTCTTGGGTTTCGATGGTTTTGCCATGGGAAGCGTGACCTTCCCACGCCAAAAAACGATGGACCTACTGGAGTCTCAGGGTTCGGTCTCTTGTGGAAGGTTTCCTGTGGACTGGCCTCCACTGTAATTTTTAGCACTCTGGAAAGGGGACCTCCGAGAGAGCAGCCAAGGGAGGACACAGCAGCCCGACCCTGATGACTGGCGTTTGCTAAACGGCCCTGGGCGTTCACTGAACAGCCCTGCCTCGCTTGGATTCCTTCCCGGGGTGCGTTGGTTACCGCGGACGTGAGAAGTTAGCGCGAAAACGAAGCATAACGTTGGATTTCCGCCGCTCAGGGAAACTCAATGCATCCGGGCCACGACAGCATGGGGCTCAAAAGCCTGCACTTCTGGTTCGCGTTCATTTTTTACGTTTTCGGCCACGGCCGCCGATCGTGCCCAGCTTGGAACCTGCGGACTTCGAATTGCGAAATTCCAACGTTACGAGTTAGTTTCGCGTTAATCGTTTCCATCCGCGGTCGATGGCTTCGCTTGTCGGGGTGCTTATTATGGGGGTGTTTTTTTCTTCAGTTCTCTAGGCAGGTCGATGGCGAGCAGTCCGTGCGGTGTCAGGAGGCCAGGACCCAGTTCGGTCCGATCGAGCCGATTCGATTCCAGTAGGCCTGACCCGATTCGACTCTGATCAGAAATCTAGACTATCCGATGCGACCCGGCGGTGACACGGTGCTGTTGTGCATTTTTGCGTTGCCGATCCGATTCGATTCGGACTCTCTGTGCCGATGCAGGCCGATCCGACTCACGTTCTGGTCCGATCCGATTTCCCGATTCGGGGGATTTGCCTTCGGGGAGAATCCCCCACCATAACTTAGATGATTGCCTCCCCCGTGGTTTCGTTGGAGCGTTGCTTCTCCCCCTCCCTCGCCCTCACGGCACATGCCTTTGGGCAGCGTTTTATGTAACGCATGGTGAAGTTTGGTTGAGAAGTTTGGTCAGCATTGACACTTCGCAGCACCCAGACATTCAGCGGCTCGAACACCTCCCCGGGGGCCACGGGCCCCCGGGGACCTCTCGGACACCTCCCCGGGGCCTGCTTCTCGTCGCCCCGGGTCATTTTCCATGATAGTTTGGGGCTCCCAGCTTGCTGGGGCCAAAATGGCGAACTAAATGTGCCTTCTTCAGGCAGGCCTCGCATTCAGAGGAGGAACAGGTACCCATGCCGCTGCCCTTCCCTCGGTGTCCCCCTGTTTGGGCCTCCTCCGAGGCTCTCGTCGCCACCGCTGAGTGCGCCTCGAAGTCCTGGTCAGAACGCACCCCTGGAGTAGCCTGCCGATTTCCGCCGACTCGACTTCTCCCGACTCGGCTGCCGATCTCTGCCGATCCGATCCTTTTCGATCGCCGATCCGATTTGTCGATTCGCGTTTGGGCTCTCCCTGCAGGGGGGGGGATCGGAGGAGGCGAGGTCTGGAAGCGTGGAGGAGCGAGGGGGGCGCCGGGCGAGGGAGTAAGGCAGTCAAGGCGGATTCGGGGCGGGTGCGCGGGGAAGGTCGAACGGGGGGGGGGAGACATCGGAGACTTGACGGTGGACTGAGGACGGAGGTGGGGGCTGTGAGGAGGAGGAGGAGGAGGAGGAGGAGGAGGAGGAGGAGGAGGAGGAGGAGGAGGGAGGAGGAAGGAGGACTGACTGGGAGGGAGGATATAGAGAAGGGTGGAGGTGGGAAGGAGGAAACGAGAGGAAAGGAAGGGATTGGAAGGTAAGGGCATGTACGGAAGGAGGAATCTGGGGGGGGGAAATGGGGAAATGGGGGGCCAGGAAGGGGAGGGGGGGAGGGGGAGGGGAGAGGAGATTGGTCAAGCTATGTTCAGGCGATCGCAAACATTGATTACGGGGGCGTGGATTAGCGGCGGGTCCCGTTTCCATGTGAAATCGCGGATTTCCGCCGCCGAACGAGGCGGCACCGGCCGCATTTTAGGGAGTGTACCTCCCCCGATCCATGGATTTGGCAACCGCGCGCCAAATCCATGGATCGCCAATCCATGTGTTGCGCGCCCCCGATAGGTGCGCTGGCGCCACAACTGACATCCTACCCCACTCATTTGCTGCCCCTGATCCTCGAATGACATTTGCAGGAATTTCCCCATCGTTTGCTGCGCAGTCGGGAAGGGGGGCTCTGAACTTAGAGGAGCATGAGGAAGTTTGGAGAGGGGAAGAGACGGATTTAGCTTGAGGAGGAGGAGGAAGAGGAGAAGGTGGCGGAGGAGAGACGAGGAACAGGAGCAGGAGGAGCAAGATGAGACGGA